AGGAGGATTTATTGAAATTACAAAAATCAAAGCAAAAATAGTAGTATTGACAAGGTGTGCCTGCCCCTCCCCGAAACCTGACCCCCTTGGGGAGGATGACACCGGTATCACCTGGATCAGTCTGGATCGGTGTGGGTGGGCCCGCAGAGCCAGCGGGGGAGATGGAAGGCAAAAAAACAGGGGAAAAAACTAAACAAGAACACAAATAGGAGTCTCTTAGTGGGAATCTTCTCGCTCAGAGAATCATGGTAGGAGAGGGCCTGCAAAACATAAAGGCCACACTTAAACAACAAAATCGTTTAAAAAGCTGGAGTAACACAGCACCTAGTTCCCAGATCTGACCCGGTTTCTGGGAAATGCCAGAGCTCCGATTTTTCTTGGCTCACTTGCTGGCTTCCCCTCCCCCTGCCCCACCCTTCTCTCAGTTAATTGGGTACACCCCATGAATATCCCCGCCCCTTTTCTCATCCCTCAAACTAGACTGGCCTTTGTCCCCACCCACCCCACTTCATCTGATTGGTTATGTCAGATACCACCCTTCCTCCTCCTCAATCCGCCATTCTGATTGGCTGCTGCTGCCTTGCCCCTCCCCCTCCTCTCACCTGTTCTCCAGTGGATCCAGGGGGATGGGGGTGGAAGTGGGGTTGGGAATCACTCCTGCGTCTCCATGCTCTCCTCCTCCCCCTCCCCCCCTTCCTCCAGCGCCTCTTCCTCTCCCTCTTTCTTCTCAGGCGGTTTCTCGTATGCCTTCTCCGAGGGAGTGACGATCACGCCGTCCCATGTGGACATCTCCGACGCCAGGTCTGCGGAGCGGAAACGGGAGAGGGCTGACCTCGTGGTATATCCCCCCCCCCAGCACACCCCCACCTCTCAGAACAAACATCTCCGCTAGTAACACCTTCCCAGAATGCATCACAGGATACACGTGCCGGCTGTGCACGTCAGGGCCTGCACAAGGCTGAGCCATTGAGCATTGAGCCATTGACCCGCAGCTCTTGAATCTGCTTTTATTTCTCACGCAGCGCCTGCTGGTACTGTTGTCTCTTGAGCTGAGGGCCGCTCCTTTATGGAGCAAAGAAGTGCCTGTAATCACCATCGTGAGACTGGGGAAAAAAATAAGACTGCGGAGATCCCTCTTGACCTCCGGTAATCGGAACGAGCAGAAACCCGGAGAGGAAGGAGGACGAGAGCTGCGGTAAGCACTCGACACTCATCCACAGCTCACAGCGAGACGCCAGCCCCCTCCTCCGCCACTTCACGCACGCACGCACGCACGCACACACACACACGGGCTCTCAACTCTCCGAGAGCCCGCTCCGCTCCTGAAGGCCTCCTCGCGCCCGAGAGCGGAGACAGAGCTGGGGCCAGGGGACACACGAGGGCCCGCTCCGCTCCCGAAGGCCTCCTCGCCCAGCTCTGTCTCCGCTCTCGGATGCAAGGAGGACTGGGAGGGGGCAGGGGAGCCTATATCCAGTCGCCTTTCTCTACAGGCGCTCCACGGACACACTTGCGTTTGCGCCCCTGCCTGTGAGGACCCCCCACTTGGGGTGACAATGGACCCTGACCCGGCGCCCCTGGGTCTTTCGATTCAGAAGATTCGACTCCTGAGAGCAGCGCCCCCCGCTGGCCCCGGCTGGTACTCACAGCTGGCGTCCCCCTCCAGGCCCAGGATCTTCCTGTAGCCGCCGTGCGACAGGATCCGCACCAGAGTCTGAGCCGTGAAGCACACCATGTCCTGGAACAGAAGCGGACGCAGCATGAGAGAGAGGCACTGCCCGGGAGACTGACCACTGTTGTCACTGACCTCTGCTGACCGGGCACTGCCTGATGACTGACCACTGTTGTCACTGACCTCAGCTGGTGACTGACTGTTGTTGTCACTGACCTCATCTGACCTAGCACTGCCTGATGACTGACCAACAATACTGTCCTCAGCTGACCGGGTACTGCCTGATGACTGACTGCTGTTGTGACTGACCTCAACTGACCAGGCACTGCCTGATGACTGACCGCCGTTGTGACTGACCTCAGCTGACCGGGCACTGCCTGATGACTGACCTCAGCTGACCGGGCACTGCCTGATGACTGACCAAAAGTACTGTCCTCAGCTGACCGGGCACTGCCCGGTGACTGACCGCTGTCGTTACTGAGGGGCTCCCTAGCCTGTGTCCAGCAGGAGGACGAGGGAGGAGAGCAATCCAGTGCTGTTACCTGCTGCTCCAGCGTCATGACCGTGTGGACCCGGAAGTTGCCACTCTCGCAGGGGTCAGTGATGCCCACCGATCCGGGCAGGAACAGCCCCGCCGCCAGCATCTGCAGGCACCGCCTGCAAGAGACACCAACGCCACACGCGTCAGAGCGAGAACACGCCTGGGGAAGCCACACCGCGAGGGGAGCTCAGTCGGGACCCTGCCACCGTGAAAGGGGCACCCCAGTCAGTGGTAGTGGCACCCCGAAGGGCAAAAGGTCAAGGCCTGCTGCCTTCTGGACGTAAAAGGGTATTTTGGAGAAGGAACAGGAGGAAATTCTTTACACAGAGAGTGGTGGGGGCCGGGAACAGGCCAGTTTGACTACCTGTTTCCGAAGATGATTACAGATCGAGCCCTAGGAACTCCCCCCAAACTCAGAGTTGTCCCCATAAAGATATGGGGGCGCAGTCGGGGATGACCCACCTGTACGCCACATTGAGAGAGAGGGGCTGTCTGGAGGGGTTGTTCATCACAGCTGAGTGACCCTGAAACCCAAGAGCAGAGCATTACCACAGCGCCCACGCCACCGACAGTACCAGCACCAGGGAGGCCGCGCTGAAAACGGGCCGATCCCCACTTCCCGGGGGCTTAGGGTACCGCCCAGCACGCCACGTAACAGCGCCCCCCGTGGAGGATGTGGAGTAGGACGCCAAGGAAGCGCGTGGTGTCAGCCCCCCACAGGTTCCAAGGGGGCTCCGAGCCCTCTACGACACAAGGAAACCTCCACCCCAGTTTCCGCTTCTCCGCTGTGTCCCCTCCCGGCACGCTTCCAGGAACATGGAAACGTCGCCGCGGCTCACGTCAGCGACCCGAGCGCGCTGTGGCCAGTCCACCCAGCAGGACAGGCCGATGTCCGACGCGGAGAGCTCTAAGAACGACAATCAGCCACGGCAGTGCTCGAGAGTCTCACCAGCAGGTCGATGATCCAGGGTGTAAGAGGCTCGAACCCAGGGAACCGGGCCCGCAGGTCCTTCAGGAGCCGGATCAGAACCTTCACTCTACAGGAACAGGAAGCAGGCGATCAGGATTCCCAGCGTTCAGGAAGAAGACAGTGTGCAGTTGTAAAGACACTGCCAGCTAACTGGCCTCAGGGGAGAGTCTCACACAACACACAGAGTGCACTGCACTGGGGCTCGAACCCACAGCCAGTAACGAAGAGGCGTCGTTGTCCTTACGTGGACTGGGAGGCGTTCTCCTCGAACCAGCGGGCGTGTCGGATTGCAGCCAGCGCACTCTGGAGGACCTTGATATCCACTGGGAGAGAAAGAGACACCATTCCTGACGACACTTCCCGAGAGAGACACAGAGAGCGTCCAACCCAGCCCCCCCACCACAGTCCAGAGTCCAGTCACCCCCAGCCTGTGTGGACAGCGGGGCTCAGTGTCCAGTCTGTGTGGACAGCGGGGCTCAGTGTCCAGTCCAGTCGCCCCCAGTCTGTGTGGACGGCGGGGCTCAGTGTCCAGTCCAGTCGCCCCCCAGTCTGTGTGGACGGCGGGGCTCAGTGTCCAGTCCAGTCCCCCCAGTCTGTGTGGACGGCGGGGCTCAGTGTCCAGTCCAGTCGCCCCCAGTCTGTGTGGACGGCGGGGCTCAGTGTCCGGTCGCCCCCAGTCTGTGTGGACAGCGGGGCTCAGTGTCCAGTCTCCCCAGTGAGTACGTACAGTGCAGCTCGGGGTCCAGTTTGCGCAGGTTGGGTGGCACAGTGGTGATGAGGATCTTCACGGTGGCGTC